AGCAATTCGTGTCGATGTAGGGAAAACTAGGGAACAACCCGCCAGCAGCCCCAAAATTGCTGGAAAGGTTGCCCCGTCTGAAGCGATCCTATACTCTGTTTCATACATAGAGTGCAACACAGTCAAAGCTAGCGCACCGGTTTGCATTGCTGACCGTGCCTACGTTCGCCCCATAAGATAGAGCGTCCCCTGCAGAAAAATTTTAAAAAGTCGGAAAATGTGCCTCCTCGGGGCTAGTAACTGATATTGGCGTTATGATTTCAACGGAGCACAAATGTTTTTCAAGAAAAAGGAAAAGATAATGTAAACCACCTTAAATTGTTTTCGTGTTCATCCGTGTGGCAGCCGCTGGTTTTGAGAAGATGGCGTCTTACGCAGCAAGCTCAAGTACCTTTCCTGCTCGGATGTTTTCGAAGATTCGTTGTGCGAAAATCTTGAAAGAGTGCAAGCAGATGATCGCCAATGTGTACGGGAGTGTAAGAACACATTCCCCGGAGAATTCGGTCGTGAAGTCCTGGAGACGGCCAGTAACAACACTAGAGTGTGCCCTGTACTGTCGCGAAGTGCAAGGCACAGTGCCTATCTGGCAAGGTGGCGTCCCCGAAGCAAAGACCTCGCAGCAAGAAAGTTTCGAGCACGGGGACCGTCAAGCATGACGAGTTCACACAGAACGCCATTCGCCTGAAGGTGCATTGCAAGTGCTCCGAGAGGGAGATTCCTACCCTTGACAGCTATTTCAAAATAAACTGTACAGGCCACAACTATTGTCGTTAATGTTTTATTATAAATTTTGGGACAAGGCCGCTATCAGGGCGATTCCTCATTCCACGCTGCACGAAAGAAAAATATAACTCTGTGCTGGAGGCAAATAACACTTGCAAAGCGGCAGACCAGATGGTAGAAATCTGGCCTCTCGGCGACTTATAAATAAAAATCAAGAAGGAGGAACTGAAATATGCACTTCGTCAATGCGCACAATCTTGCTAAAAAAGAATGTCTAAAAAAGAAAAAAAGAAAAAAATCTTTGCGCGTAAAATGGGTTTGAACCACGGCCACCGAGACGTCAATATCGCCAGAGCAGCGCCTTCTACCACTCGTCCACGGAACGCGCGGAGTAACACTTTTTCTATTTTTTCATGCGCACCACTTTAGTACCTTTGACAGCGTTGCACGCTGAGTATGAAACAGAGTATAAGACACCCTATTGTCTGGTACAGAGACCATTTATGAACGCTTGGGTGTTTAAACGATGTACGACACATTTTACAAAAAGAAAAAAAAAAATTGGGTGTTTAAACGTTGTACTACCCTTTTTTCAATAGAAAAAAGCAACAATAAAAAAAATAACACATTTCAGAAGAAAAAGTTAAGGAGACGGAATGTACCATTATGTTCAGTGAAGTTTGGTGACAAGACTCGGGACTCGAGCAGGAATGCAGTCATCCTTGGTGTGACCCCATGAGACGGTCTTGCTGCCTTTACTGGGGTTTATCTAACTGAGGTACCTGTACGAAAAGTAGAACACATGTGCATAACACTCATTATTCACAAGAAAATTTGTCAATGTCCAAAATGACCCATGAAGAAAATTATGCGAGGAATTTTCAGGCTGCGTTGGCCGAGTCACCTCTCGTGGCCAATGTTTCATAGCAACTTTAATTGTTGTGAACAGTTATAGCGTATATTACGAACAAAGTGCAATTTGGTTTTGTAGGAAACTATAACACACAAAACGACACTTGTATACAGTATGTTGAGCTGCCTCTAAACAAACTCCAGGGTTTCATGGCGCCTCCTTCAGATACCTGATGTTGAACATAAAATATGTGCACCAAGGAGTGAGCAAACAGCGACTTCAGATTTGTCTCCAACACCAGCGACATGTCGACAAGGAGTGCAACGTGTAGAAGGTCGTCTAGAAGTGTGCCAAGATGAAAAAGCAAGATGTAACGATATCAGAATAAGATCACACCAACGAGGCACCAGTGTGGTGAGACAATCTACGATGTAGAGACAGTAATCGGGAGTCAACCGACGTACGGCCGCGATTTACTTTGCAACGACTAAAATGAAACATGGCAAAAAAAAAAAATGTTTGAAAATAAAAAAACGCGTTTTTCTTTTTTTTTTTCTTTTTTTTTTACTTTATTTGTTGAGCGCAGCCGGTAGCAGAGCAGTTGGGCGGCGTCACGAAAATCTGACAGACTCGCTAGCTTTTCTCAACTTCGTACGGCGCCAGTCGGCACCCCAGATGAGTGGTCGGCACTCTTAGTCTACCAGGGAAGAAAAAAGTACGAGCTCAGAGCCCAGCGTCTATCGCGACTTTCGTAAAGAGAAGCTCCGGTAACACTTCGGCGACTCGTGAGCGTTAAACAACGCCTCTTCGAACGACCCACGAATCCAACACGTCGAACGGTTTGCGCCGGTAAGCACGCTGGGAGCCAGGATCCGAAAGAGACGAGGCGCTGGTTTCTACGTCTATTTCGCACATGAGATAACAAGCCCAGTGATAGCTAGCCGAGTGTAAACACTGACTGACGTTACATCAGAGTACACGCAGTCGAAATGACGTCTGCAACAGAGCACAGCAAGACGCTTTCAGCAGGGGACGCATGCGTTCAAATAAGCTGCGATTTCAAAACATTCTGTCCTTCAGTGTTCACTTTGATCTGTGTATACCAAAGCACTCAATGCTGCAAGTAATAAAGTCGTCTATACGTACCTTTCGAAGCGATTGAAAGTGCGTTGGTTTCACTTGGAACCCACAAGCAAAGTGTGCGACGAACTTGACAAGCTGTTATCCGTCGGTTCCGCCGGGTTGGCGCGGTCGCGGTCGTTGCGCAATGGCGGCGCAATCTCGGCGGCTCGCTCAGCCGCTTGTCTGGCAGCGCATGCGCGCAGGCGCGCCGGCTCGCCTCCCTTCGGAGTTCGAACGTTCGAACTGCCTCCGAAGCTCGAGCGCTCGAGCTTTCGCGCGCGCGGGTTGACGATGGAAACTTTTCTCGTAAAACGAGTCTGTAACGTATCGTTTGATGGCGCAAATGCACGTATTTTTCCCGTCGTTTTTTACAGTGTGTGAATCTTGCGAAACGGGCGACGAAGAGTGGTGGGTGAAATGTGCTCGCGTGTGGTTGTGGATTTTGTGTACGACGTAGGATTACCCAGAAAGGTGGGTCAATATTGATAAATGTGCGGGTAAGAAGCACGTGACCTGTCAAGCCCATTAATCCTCATTATTTTATCGTGCGAACTGACATTGTCACGTATCGCGTTCGATTTGGGTTCCAACATCGGTAACCTAACTTTTGTTGCATTAAAACTGCAATAAACATTTGTTTGAAAACGACCACTCCAACGAGCACGTCGTTATTGGGCTTTCTCATTGAAAGGTAGGTCGCGGGTGTCCCAGCTAGTTATTCTGAATGGTTTGGTGGTTGTCTAGCATTTCAAGCGCTCGAGGCTGTGTGTACTGTGTGCGTACGTACTCTTGCGCTTTCGATCAATGTGAATGTGTTTGCAACGCGGAACGTTTGTGTTCTGTGCGTATCCCCCTCCAATATCGTTCTCTCTCGTATTGCCGTATGGTAACTCCTGCTGTTCTACAATATCATTCACGCGATGTCGTATTGTGGGCGTACCGATATCCACATAATGCTTCACGGGCGACCAATACTGTGTTACGTATCCTCTTAGTCCGCGGTATATGCCGACGTAATTCATGTTGGTAACTTGGAATTCGTTCTGAGATTTATCCACGCGATATTGTATTCTCCTTTGGGCCCGTGATCGACGACCGATATTTATATATCGTGTGGCCGCTCAGTATGTCCATGTCGGTCACCAATATGCACGCGGTGTCGTATTCTATTCCAATAACCGTAAGTTCTGTCGGGATATTGTGCTTCGATATCGTGTTGTATACCAATAACCGCAAGTTATATCGGGATATTGTGCTCCAATATCCTGTTGTATACCAATAACCACATACAATATCGGGATATTGTGCTCCGATATGAATTCCCATCGTGCGTATTGGGTTAATCGGATAACAATAAGTTTTTATTGGTTTCCATCAACTTCATTGGAATACAATATTTCCAATAAGCCGAGTTCATATTGGCCTTTTTCAATAGGGCTGCATCTCATGTCATAAAGATTGAAGCAGATTGGACGACATTTGCTGTCAGAAAATTTGTGCATCTCGTACAACCGCGGCGCAGCCTGCACTGTGTGAATATTTTGCTCGGTGCGGTCAGGAGTGTTTAGTTTTAGTTTCCACCGGTCATGAAACATCAAGGAGGCAGTGTTTGCATTCACAGAATTTTATTTAACATCCCGATCGTTTCGTATTTAAACCGCTTGTTATACACAAACCAAAATAAAAAAAAAAAATCTAAATTAAACATCGAAGTTACGAAACGAGGTTAAAAAGCGGCGGGAGCCAGATGCATGGTGAGACTGCAACCATACGAAGACGCGTTCGCACTGTAGTGGAGGCGTGGAAGCACAAAAAGCCCGTGTTACGTAATGTGTACGTACATACATATGTTACCTGCTGTCAAGGGATATCCAGCTCGCCTCTGTTGTGGAATGAATATTTTAAGTGAGGCACGTGCCAAAATGGCGTGCGAGAGCTCAGCACATCGCCGCCGGACGCGTCACGTCCGAAAAGATTAACTGTCAAGTCGAGTACACAGACGCTGAATAAGACATTTCTAGTGCCAAGTAGGACGAACCTTCTCAGGCATGGGACACAGTGAACACGTCAACACAACAGCGATAACAACATCAGAAGCTAAACCCCAGCGGTAAAATTCGGAACCACGAACGCGCGGTCCACTAAACGAAACATTTTTTTCCACCCGACAAAAAATCTCATCGACCAAGGCGACCTCCCAGGTAGATCTAACGAACATCTATCTCACTTCTAATGAATACTGGAACTCTAATATTGCCACTAGCTTCTCCATCTATGTCCTCAGAATAGAGAACGACAGAACGGCACGTTGTCATGTTTTATTACACTGTTGGTAGTGTGCACTTCAACAAACTCCTGAATTATCCACGTGTCTCTTCTTGCCTTCGTCGAAAATCCGCTTTACTGATTTGATGGCTGGTGAGATTTGCTCCTTGTCAGAGCCGTGTATCGTTGAAGGTTCCTTTCGTTCTTTGCAACCTTCTGGCTTATTTTTCGCTCCTGGTGTGATTCGTAGTGCTGCAGAGTTCCGGCTGAATGAGCGATCGAATGTACTTTCCGGACAAAGAACTTGGTTTACCGCAGACATAATAGATCCACCTTGCGGGATATCTCAGCAAGAAAGCGAGCTTGCATTCGCAGTTCAGCACGTTCCCTGAACATAAAAAGTGTTGATTATGAATTTTATGAATTCAGAAAAACGGGGACAAAGAAATGAAAGACGTTTACAAATCTCTAACGCGAGATTAGAGCGCAGCTCTTGAGGAAGAGGAAAGGAGGGTACGGAGGAGAGGGTATGCCCCTCTTCCTCCTCCGTACCCTTTATTGTTCCCCTTCATTTTCCCTCCTCTCGTCCTTCTCTGCTCCTCCTCCTCTCCTTTCCTCCTCGGCTAGTCCTCTTCCCCTTCCATCCTCCTCCCCTACTCTTCCTCCCCTTCTATCCTCCTCCTCTTTCTTCTACTCCTCTCTCCCCCTCCCCTCCACCTTCTTTCCTCCTTCTCCTTCGTACCCTCCGCTCCTCCTACGTACCCTCCCATCCTCCTTTTTAATACCCTCCCCTCCTCCTCCTCTATACCTTCCCCTCCTCCAACAGTTTCCCCGCTAAATTTAGCTCACAAATTGACGCCACGTGACCTCAACAGCAATTCGATTCCCCGCTGAATTTAGAGGGGAATTGAATTGCTGTTGAGGTCACGTGACGTCAATTTCGCCGCTAAATGTAGCGGAGAAACTGAATTTGTTCATAGGTGACGTGACACCAAGTCATGTGACGTCATTTTTTCCCCTAAATTTAGTGGGCAAACTAATTTGGTGTTGAGGTCACGTGAAGTCAATTTTCCCGTTACATTTAGCGCGGTTACGCCGACGGCGACGCCGCGAAACACGAAAACGGGCTCTAACCGCTTATTCACACTGGAAGCGGATCCGCGTTCGCAAAGCGGTTGCGAACGCGGTTGTATAAAGATCCAGTACAATTGCACGCGCACTCGATGACATCAAGTGCGCGTGCGATTGTACTGGATCTTTATACAACCCCGTTCGTAACCGCATTGCGAACGCGGATCCGCTTTCAGTGTGAATGAGCGGTTAGAGCTGCGCTCTAAAACGCAGGCATAAACGAAACAAAGTGAAAGGCACCGAGCCATGCGACGCCGTCCTACAACTGAAAGAGTAGCCACAATAGAGCAAAGGCTGGTTCACACGTTCGCGTTTAAGCGTAATCTAGTGCACTTCAACAACCATACCGGCGCCATCTATTGAGCAGCCTTTATACACTTCCGATCTACGTATATTTCCTTAATTCTTAATCATGTTTTGTTTTCACTGTGTATTTCACATACATATTTTACAATAACCTAAGTGGCCAGTCATCATAGTTAGTGCATAGGTTTGATCTCGTAAATATTGCAGAACCCTCGATCTAGTCATACTAAATTTCAGGGCTACTTTATACATGGAACCGGTTTGCCGTAAGCGATCACGAGTGGTTAAGACGCATTCGGTGACACTTTAACGCAAGCGTGTGAACCAGCCTTTATCTTTACCCGCATTGAACGACGCAGTGAAGTCTACGACTGTCAAGAAAAGTGCATGGCACATTCTTCACCATAAAAGCTGCAGTGACGTATCTTAAGTTATCGTAACTGATATCCAGCAGCCTTTATTTTCTTTGTTGCACCAGAACTAAACACCAAACCCTTGAATAAGATAATACACTGCTCAAATATCGTAAAACTCAACATCAATCTTCATTCACAGATCGAAGACGACAAAACCCCTCTAATATGGCGGCTTCGAGAGGCATGGTGATAGTGGCTTACATGCATTTTTCCTTTGGCGTATTCTATTTGCGATGCGTTCTCTACTATACGTTGGCGTGCTGCCAGAGATGGACGTGATCAGTATTTTGAATGTTTTGTGATAAATGTCACTTACCAATCATGTTTACAAAGGAGTCGTCTCTGTCAAGGGGTGCCAATGTCTCCTCGTGGAATGTAGATATTTGGTTGTAAGCGACGCTGAGGACCTTGAGCGCCGGCATGTCTTGAGTGAAGTCCTTCGGCAAAGACGTCAGTTGATTCTCTCTGAAGACCAACAACAATTAAAAATAAAACAATTGGAACTTATTTTGGCCTCAGATAGTTTCCTTTCGAAGCAATACCCTATACTCCTTTCGCCGAAATTTATCAAACAAACGTTTACTGATGTTAAATGGACCGACATTAGTATGAAAAGGGTAGGGGTAGAAATATACTAGAACGTTTACTAGTATTCAAAATGTGGTACTTGCCTTGTATTATAGCAAACATGAAGGGTCTTTCTTTTATATTGCTCACTTCTCTACAAGTTAAAAAATGCGTGAAATTTGTTTGTATGAACGGGCGCTTGTGCATTTCATAAAAACAAAATCTACCAAGTGTTTATACCTTCTTTAGAAACATGCTCTACGCAAAAAAATTGTCCTTCCTATGGTTTACTTCTCCAACCATAAACTTCTCCATACTCTTAAAACAAAACATAAAAAATAAGTTTTTGGAGTGATAACACTCTTACATTATCAGTCCCTAAAAACCGCCTCACTTCGTTTGTTGCTAACCTTATTTGGCTAACACCTTTATCCACTCTTAATAAACAGAGCACACTAATCTCATCCATCAATCTCGTTGGCTCACGGCATTACTTCAGGTTGGGTGAGTACTGGAAATTGAAACTGATAAAGTGGGTTCTACAATCTTTTATAACTAAAGCAATGCTGATAAAATTTATTAAAATATTACGATAAATGGTATATATATATATATATATATATATATATATATATATATAAACAAAGAACTAAAACATCGTTTTTTTTAATTTATAACTTGTTAAAAATTACTTGTTCCAAAGTTCCAAAATGTTGAAGGTAGAGAGCTTCCATATTCCCGCGTGTACGGAACTAAAGCTGAGAGACTTCGTAAAAAAAAGTGATAAGACGGAATTTTTTTCATGTTCAATAAAATAAAATCACGACCTTCTAACACTTTATATTTATTGTAAAAAAATTACGGAGAAATGATACCCGAGTGACTCTCGCTCCGTTCAAGCTTAAGGCAAGTTTCTGACAAAAAAGTTTCATACACGGAAAAATATTTTGTTCTAAACAAAAACACAGAAAAACTCAACGAAAAGGCGGACTCTGCACATTTTTCGGTAATACACGACAAGAAAAATGCTTCTACGAGCACTTTCTATGTCACTAACCCCGACAGGTTATGTATGAATTAAAGCTATAAAAACCCTATCTCAAATGGAAACTAAAGTTTTTAAAGATTTTTTTTACCACGCAATGTTTCAACCCACATTAACATGTGCACTACCCAAAGTTCTTCAGCTTTTAATTATATTATAGTTTTTATCTCAACAACTTTGTTCACGAAAAACCGTCAAAGGTAACAGAAATAAATACTCACGGCATGTCAAGAATAAGCAGTTTGGTGGCCGGTCTTGGAAACATCGACCTCAAAACTTTCTTCAGAGTTGTTTCCGCTATCTTAATCAACTCGATGTCGTACAGTTGAGAAATCCAGTCCTCGTCTACTCTTCCAATGCTAGCTCCTAATATTTGAATCTGCCTGATGCTAGTAGGGAGGTTATTGAAATCTCGTGTAAGGTTCACTTGTCCAATGGCGACGAGCTGAAGCGTCCTGAGTTCGGTTAGGTTCTGCAGCACAGACCAAGATTCTGGCAGGCTGCTCTGGTTGCTGAAAATCAGCTTACGGAGAGTCTCCCGGAGTTCATTGAGTGGCCCCGTTGCTGAGCCCGGATAAGTGAACGACTGAATGCGGGAGTTCCTGAACTCTAGCACAGAGATGTTGGCGTTCCGGAAGACCGTAGCTGGTAGGTGGTCCAGGTGACTGTCCTTCAAGATGAAGTGAGTTTCTTCGAGTATGTCGTCCCGCTGCACGTGCTGATGGAAATCATCGTCGCTGCGCAGACCTTCACAAATGTAGTACTTGTACGCGTAACCCGCTGCACTGCGACAAGAGGGAGGTGCGTGCGATAACGTAACTGAAACTACGGCGAGACACACCAGAATAAGGAAGTCGTGGATTTGTGGCATTCTTAACGCGTTTTGTCACACCTTCCCCAAGAAACTCAATGTACGGAGCCAGCGTCGTATATATACGCATATATTCATGGGTATTCTCGTTTACGACGCACATGTTGCAACATTTTCTTTCCCACTTTCTCGAAACGCGCCAGTCGAGAGTCTGACATAAATCTCTTTCCCAATCTTTTCTTTTTTTGCTTCGGTCGGTGTAACGGCGGCCTTCGACATAAAACACCCTAAAACCCGCATGTGCTCTGAAACGCGAGAATAAGTTATCTTCTGTGATTAATCGTCACAGATATCAGTTGAAATGTGCTATACACGGCTACCAGAGCATTCGTGGCGTTCTCTAGGCGGCAACATTCGTCTGTGGCCTTCAAGTTGATGTTGACGGGTATTTTGTTCTTGCATACCTATTTCGCAACGTGTAATATGTTGCACGCGTTCATTGTGTTACATTGCCCTCCCCCTACCCCCCCCCCCCCCCGTCTTTTTTTTTTTTCTTCTTCCCTGTTAACGAGTAAAACAAATGCGAATAAGAAACCTTTTTGTACAAAATGTAGTTTTAAATCTAGTCATGGTTTTGACTGCTGCTGCCTTTCGGAGAAAGTTATACTTTTCTTAAATACAGTATTCCATTCAACGCTATTCACCTAAGGTGCTTAATATACTTAATACATAATTATGTCAGTATTTTTTTTCTTTTGGCAATACTGAGCTGGAAGCGATAACGTAGAACAAACCATGTTAAAGCACTCCAAATTTTATCGCGGCATTATTGAAGCTTCCTAATAGAGTCTGTGGAGAGCCACATTAATAACCCCCCCCCCCCCCCCCCATTTTATTAGAGTATTTACTCAACTTCAAGATTTATGTCTGCAGCATACGCGGTGCAACGGTACATCTGACAACACTAACATGTGAGCATTCCACGCGAAATAGCAATTAGAACTTACATTGTCCAATTATTCTATTTTGTGGGCTCGTGTTGCAATGACGTTTGGCATTTGCCACGTTTAAACTCCCGCCGCGAAACGTGATATTCATTTATCATCTGTCCGAACCAGCTGCAATGTGCTGCCGCTGGCAGCGCGGTGGCAACTTTTCTCTGCGACCTTCAGTCTGGCGATTATTGCGAGCTTCTCTTGCCTTCTCATTTCAGAAGACACGAAACGTCCGTGCTTATCACTTGCCTTCCGTTAACAAACAAAGAAATTGAACAAAGTTATTTACAAAAAGCCATACTTTAAAAGCAAGTCGCTCTTCTGAACTAGAGCAGGGCCCATTTTGATTGAAGCAGCTTATTTTTTCTTGTCGGAAAGCGAAGTCTCATTTATTAATCACTATCCGCGATGAAGTCTCTCGGGCGAATCATCAGTTGTCTGACTTTTACTCTTATGGCGACTCGTTCCTTTTGCGATCCTTCTTGCTACACTTCTTTCGGTTCCACGTATAATTACTATGTTTGTAGTGGCTTCAGCAATACGACCGATCTCCGAACTCAAGTACCGCGCGTTCCACCACAGTCAAATACTTACTTTATTCTCAAAAACAGCAATCTAGACTACATTCCTGCCGAACTCTTCACTCACGCCGCTCCCGCCGTACTAGAATTCAGAAACGTCACAGTTCGTTCCTACAACCAGCCCGGATCGGTAATTAACCCCTTCTCAGGGTTAGAAGAATCCCTTCACTCCCTAGTTTTCTCGCATAACAGCTCTCTTCCCGAATCGTGGGCGATGTTCAGTCACCTGACCAAGTTGGAACAGCTCAAGTTTTTCAACGTGACTCAAGTTAACTTCACCAGAGACTTCAACTCCTTGCCTCAAGGGCTGAAGGAAGTGCACGTCCTTTCCACGGCCGTCGGGTACGTCGATGATGACTGGATGTCGTCGCTCCATAACCTCCAAACTATCGTCATCATGGTCACTGATCTGCGATCAATAACACGGCGGATGCTGCCCAAGCCTGCACCAAAGCTTCGCCTGCTGCAGCTCCGGTAAGTTATCACTTAATGCAAGAACGATATCCGAGTATTTTAGTACGGAGAATCCCTACCAAACGTGTAAATTGATTTTTTTTAATAGATTATACATCACCGAACGTTGCGTCTTCGTTGAAATGTAGGGCTAGCAGTCCGCACCAGGGGCAAACGACTGGCAACGTACCTACCATTATCTTATATGAAAGTTATAAACAGTTTTAGAAAATTTGTAATTGAAAAATTGTAGCCAACGAAGCACACGAATGCATTGGGTTCAATAGACCTAACTACCCAGAACGGGCCACATTGAAATACTCAGAAAATCACAGAACTTTTGAATAAGGTAACGGTTAGCTCTTAAACTTTGGCATCTGGTCCGAACCGCTAGCGCTACATTTGGGTCGGGACTGAGCGTTCGACAATGCGTGGTTTATTTTTGCGGTGAAACAAAACACTGTAAACTGGCTTCGGGGACGCGCTTTATAGCGTAAGGTCACGGTATGTAGATGCAAAGAAATGGCGGGTGAAGACTGCGTATGCGACCAACGTGAGATCAAGCTTACCTGTTGCGTGCGTCCCCTTATTCTAAAAAGATTGCGTGAGGCCCGTAAGGCGCTTTGCGCGCCTGACGTTCTCCTCTTGCGGCGCACCCGCGCATCACGATTGGCTACGGACCGCTCGGGCTTCTGGGAGAAGTTTCTTGCGTGCGACGCCCCTGCAGGACTTGGCCCATAGTCAAGACGTCACCAATATTGTTCTCTTTGCGGCAGAAATACATGGTTAAAACAGCACTCATGTACTTTCACACTTCTTTTATCTGCTCGAATGGAAATTAAACACCCGGTATATATATCTTAGGAGAGACTTGCTATATGTGTAAAACGGAAACAAAACATATATGGTACATCAAGGTCGTTTTTTTTTTCTTCTGGCAAATAATAGATGAGACTCACTCACGGTGTGCTAGGAAATGTTGAACACAATGGGACTGCGAGCCTCGGACGTAGCGGAACAAGAACAAAGGGTAAACACATTATTTACAGCCATAGTCGCTTGGGAACACAGTGCGTCATGCCGACCGCACGAGATGTGTACAACCATGCAGAAGGACAAGGGTCGTCCGGTTCTCTAACCTCCAAGTGTCTGTTTACAATCATTTAAACTTTTTAACATTACTTAAATGCTTACTACGTGCCATTCAATGTTTCCACAGAGATAACCAGCTCACGTCACTCCCTGTGGATTTGACGGAGGACCTCCCAGCACTGGAATTCCTCGACGTCAAGAGAAACAAAATCTCCAGCTTTAGAAAGGAAACGCTAAAACCTTTGGATCGAGACGGGACCTTTGTAGACCTAGAGGGTAAGCACCAGGTTTCCCTTTCGTCTTACGTGCGAAAAATGTCATCGCAAATGACGCGCTCGCTTAAACAGTGCACCGGATGCCTACACGTGTTGTATATTCAGAGGCATTAACATGTTCTTCACACTGATCACATAAATTAAATTATATGAGCCTCCCCCAGTTTATGGCATAAATTAAACCAATTCACCTATCCCTCGAAGAGGTTAAATGAGTTTCCAAAAAGAAAACAAAAAAACACGAAGCATGTTCTAATACTGAAGGTGGCGAAATTTTCAATGTTTTATCTGGTTTATTTATTACACCAGAACGCGTCCCGTGCCAGACAAAGCTTTTATTTCTTTACGCTATTTGGAATACTCCTGAGCAGTTAAGGCGTTAATGCCTTAGCGGTCTTCGGGTTTGAGGGTATCAAATGCACTTTTTTATATTTCGTAGCTAGCCCCAAAATATCAATTATCAAGGCGTTTTTTATTTGAATTTTAGTTTCGGTTAATGCAATCGTATTTTGATTGAATATCTATACGGTTCTTGTTAACTTCTGACCCCCCCCCCCCCTCAAAATATTAATCGACATTGCGGATTTTTATAATTTTTTTTTTGTTGGTCTTGCTTAAGTAAAGCACTAATTCCCGTTCTCATTATGTTTTAATATATCATACCTAAAATATTAGCACTTCTGTTTCGCGTCCAAGAAGGTTGTTCAGAAAACAGCAGAAAATTTTTTTTTTCAAAATAAACAAACGTAAAATTGATGCTTGGAAAATAGAACACAATTTGGTCTGCAAAATCAAATGAGACAATAGAGAAAAGAGAATTCGAATAGTTATTGTGCTAAGAAGAAGCCAGTATCGAGCTTAAACAAACAAATACGTTAGAGACAATCTTGTCTTAAAGATCATTAATTTTATTCTAGCTTATAACTTTTTTATTGTTTATTCGCAGAGTTTATTGCGAATGAAAATTTAATTAAAAAACTGACTTATTTTTCTTTTTTATGTTAGGATTTGAATGAATATACCATGAAGCTGAATGAATATACCCTAATCTACCATATTATACCATAATATACCATAAGCTGAAATGTACTTTTCTATTTTTGCAGGCAATCTCTTAGACTGTGATTGCAGCCAGAGCTTCCTTCTCCACACGCCCGACAGATGGCACTACCCCTTCTGCAAGGACGGTTCTCTGCATAGTCGGCGCTTTTTAAGGTTTCTTATCGGACCGGACTTGTGTGACGAAAACAGAGGGGAAATACACCAATAACACCTCAAGTTTTTTCATTGAATTTTTAAAAGATATATGCGGTTCTAAATTTTAGTTTTGCGAGCTCATCAAGAAAAATAAAAAATGACAAAACAGTAAAGCAAAGCGTTGGTAAGTGATTTAATATCAATTCATGCAAGAAAAAACGATGGGTCCTCGAAACATTTAGGAAAGATATATGTTGGTGGAAAATGTGTGATTATGAAAAAACTGCCAATTATATAACTACGGAATATTTTTTTCTTGAGTTTTTGGATTCAAAAGTGCAGACTTTCCATTTTTCCAATTTTTACAAGTGAAACATTTTGGAGTCTCGAAACTTTTAGATTTTTTTTTCCCAACAATCATAACTTTTTTTTTTACTGTTGTGAACCTTTGTATAGAAGGGTCAAAGTTTTCTAGAGATGTGTTTCCTTATTTCATTTTATGAAATAAAAATTCTTGTATCCAGCACCTTTGACAATAATAGGCCAAATTTGAATGAAGCTAGTTTCGATAAGCAATTATTTAATGCAAAAAACATATAAAATGAAAGTTTGTATAGGTGTTTTTTACAACTTATAATATGCTAATTTAAGTATAGCTTATAAAGAAGAAACAGCTGTGTAAACCTGAGAAGAAAAGTTAAAAGTACAAACTTCAACGTCATTTAAGAAAATGTGTAATTTTATTTGCACATCTATTTGGGGATTAAAATATATGGGCCTCTGCCAAATTGTTTGCGTAATTATATATATATATATATATATATATATATGTGTGTGTGTGTGTGTGTGTGTGTGTGTGTGGTGGTTTGAACGGGATCATAGTATTTATAATAATGTAAACGACTTCATTTTTGCGAATCGGTCTTATTTTCGAGAATCGAGTGTAGCTTCCGTAGCGTTCACATACTGCCCAAATTGTTTGCGGGACGCATTTTTCGCAACTTGTAGGCGATTCGCGAAATTCGCGAAAATTAGGTCCTCGCGAAAATTTAGTCGTTTACAGTATTTAGATTCATGTACCATTTAGTAAAAAATAAGAAATCTTAAGGTTTCTTATTTTCATGTTTTTCTTTTTTAACAAGCACAAAAATTAACTTCTAGGAACATTTGTGTCAGACAATGAAGTGGCGAGATAAATTAGTTTCAGGAACCCAGTGGACCGAGTGTGAAATTTTGCTTCTTTTGTGCGGTCGCATTTTTACGTATACTGGCGGGGCTGGTTCAAACCTTTTTTACTTTCTTTTTATTTGGGGCGCTAACAAAAAATACAGAAAGACAAGAGACATGCATACCATTACATAGCGTTTTTAGTTTTATAAGCTCACAGTAAGGCTTATTGTGATAAAGGAAAAAGAAAAAGTTATTTTATGTGAAGTTAACATTACTCTTGACAGTTCGCAATTTTTTATCACAACCCTGAAAGACCCGTTTCTAATTTGAGCCTTCATCCCCAAGTGTCAGAATTTAATCTGTTTCCCAGGACTTAAAGAATTCCATTCCTTTTGCATTGTGTCACGTTATTGCGCGAGGCATGCTGCTTCACTTTTGATGAGAACAATTCTAGGCACTTTCAGGTATTTACAGCTTTTAATTAAATTATATTCTTTACATCAACAAAGTTTTTTACGAAAAACCTTCAAAGGTAGCAGAAATAAATACTCACGGTATGTCAAGAACAAGCAGCCTGGAGATCGGTCTTGGAAACATCGACTTCGAAACTTTCTTCAGAGTTGTATTTACAAATCTCATGAGGATAAGAAATATAAAATGTCAGTATAGTATAGTTACAGCGTTTTTAGCCGTGTCATGCACAATCGCCATTAACTCTCGCAGCATAAAATCTACCTGCTTGACAGCGTTTTTGCACCTGGCGCTCACCATACAGTTATTTCAACCCTCCTGTGACCCGAGGATTGGATGTAATTAAATTTTGGAAACTCAAGAGAGAGGACAGAAATAGGGTCCCATTATGAATATTTACCGTTTTCACAAGCCACCGTCCTCACCAAAAAGTTGATGTAAGTCGCGCCTTTGTACAAGTCTTCCTGAGACACTTTTGCGGTCTGCCTGGCGAAACTGCGCCGGTAAGTCGTCATATCTGCATTTTGATCGGACATGCGGCAGCAAAAGCGTATTAATATTTTCGACAACCAATCGAAGAGGCAATATAACCACCGCGGTTTTGCGGTCCATACTTATAAAAAAAAAACGCATATAAATCACACAATTTTAACACCGACAAAATTTCTAGAAAAAAAAAACGGGGCTTATGGTGTTTATGTTGGCACTGTTCCCTTAGATATTTTTTAAGGTGGTCTACCATGGCCTTTGCAAAGGTAAAGGTGATCGCTAAACAAATTTAATTGGGCTTATTTCCGGGATGTTCAGTTCGATTCCTATTCATAAAACAAAACAATCTCCTTCCGGCACGTCTGGATCCTACCAGGTCGCTTGTTGCAGCTTTCGTTTCTTTCTTTTTTGTTTCTATCAAAATTTATGATTTCAAATGGGCCTTTATTTATTTATTTTTTAAAGCTGGCGTGTACCCCATTTCTATGCTGCTAAAGGCCCGTTTAAGTAAGGGACCTCTACGGTCGGCGGCGAACGAGTTCGCGATCATCCGCACGTGGTAGCGATCCCGTGCGCTCGCTATCGGAGCACGGGCTGATTCGCCGATTGGACCTAAGTTAAAGGTACCTTTAGAGGCTGACCGCTTAGATTAAGTTATAAAAGTAGTTTTGTATAGGTCGAAAACTTTCTTTCCTCGCTACGCCATCTAGCGGAATGAAGAAAATAAAGTTATTACCGTATTTCTCAGACCGGACCCGGTGAATAGTCCGCACGCCGTGCGTAGTCCACACTTGGTGTCTCATCCGAAAGTAAGAATGATCATACACAACACACCTTGACAAATGCCTGCTGTATTAGCTCACAAAGAACCTTGTATCGTATAGAAATCAACAGTAATATACTATGTTATCTACGAAATTATTCGCGTCTTAACACAGTGAACGATCTAGAAAAAGAAACAAATGTATAGTCCGCACGTGTAGAGGGTCCCGGTAAATTTTCAATTATGAAACACGTATAGTTCGCGGGTCCGGAAAATACGGTACTAGCTTTACAGGACCCCGAAACATGCTTTTACTTAGAATGTTTAGCATGAATGCCGAAAGCAACATTCCTACACAGGAAGAACACAGCACGAGCTGTGATATACAAAGAGTGGTGCACTGTCCGAATTGCAGCATGTTGAATATGGGGGAACTATGTTTAAGGTAGCGTTCAACGATTCCTTTCCCGTGAATATTGGAAAGAAACCTATCTTAAGAAGGTCCTTTTAGGCTGGCCGTCTTAATAGTGTATTAGCTCATTTTCATTAACTGGATGTGACGAGAGGTACGGAAATAAGTAAAACAATTGAATCCTCTCGTTTGAAATATTTATTGCTTCAAATGTTTAGACACCTTTCCACAAAAAAAAAAGAAAGAAAAAAGGTCTGGGACCTTTGTTTGTGTGTGGGTGCGTGCGTGCGTGCGTCTGCGCGTGTACATGTGCGTGTGTGTGTGGAAGGGGGTTGTTTGTTTGTATGTGCTTTTGTGGTGGGGGCTTGTTTTAGTTTTTAATTGTTGCTGTTTTTTGGCTTCTTATTTGGCCTGTGCACAGAAGATACAACATCACAATAACTGAGATATTACATGACATTGTTACCAAGTGTAGTGTTTTAAAATGATATTCTGAGCTCTTAATCGCAAATAAACCCACTGTCGCTGGCATATAAAATCTTGAGCAAAATATTCAACATTACCAATGTTGCAACTGCATTTATACTGTCTATCGAGTGAAACAATACCTTTACTTCTAGAAAGCTCTGACCAGTGGTGCGGAGAACGCAATAACTTTAGTCACTAAGATGGATTTATTTGTTGCTGTTTTGTTCGGAACGTAGCGAGAAAGACGATCTAGTTCGATATTTGTGGTCAGCTGCAGCTTGAGAAACGCCGAATGTGGCTTAGTGTGTCGACAATTCTTGCTTCGTGATTCGTTATCCAACTTTCTTATCGACTGACGCTTCAATTTATTGGGCTGCTAAGATAGGAGATGTTTCTGACTCGCCACGCCCTTCGTTTCTTTAGCTGTCAATGACTAAACAGATAGAAAGTCGCCTGGTTCTTGCGCAGGGGTTGCTGTGACGTCAGAACCACGCCGAGCTATGATTGACTTTGATTGAAAGGATAGTGGATAGACCTCAATGATAGATGCATCGAGGTCTACCCACTATTTTTTTTTTAAATCAGCCAATGAGAGCTCGCCGTTCTGACATCACCACAACCCCCGTGCAAGAAGCAGGCGGACTTGCGCTCCGCATAGTTAACTGAATAGGAGTGGCAGCAGGACAAAGATCGGGACGGTGCGTTACTTGCCGGATGTGATGCCTGTCTTGCGCTGTGGTTACGGCAGTGTAAGGACGTTCTTGGGACCCTTTTCTTTGCTTTCTAGATTTAGACCAATACAGTTTAATATAGCAGGGCGATACGTTGTTCATTTTCATCGTGATTTAAAAAAAAAAATAAGAACAAAAGATATGGTGTTAGTTTTCTGAAGGAAGATGTAAGCACTTTCATGTCCTATGTAATATTATAATGTGAAAAAATAAGAAGAGGGAGATCAATGTAGAGAAAGTAAGGTAGAGGTGCCAAGGCGTGGATAAAAAGCAAAGGACGGTGACGAACGGTCTTTTTTTATTGAATATTTTACATAGCAGAATTTGTAGTTAAGACACTCAAATACATTTCATCAAAGCGCTGTCCCCTGATGTACGTCTGCCTCCATAATATAAGATCGGAAACGTTATTGTTCCAAGAAACTTCTAAATTTTATTAATGCCTCCTACCTTTCTCTTTCTCCTATTATGTCACAAAAAAACTGAGCGTGTTCAGTTAACTACTCCACTGGAGCTGCACTCGAGGTCTTCTGGTCGCAAGGTGCGTAGCTCACGGTCCCTCAGCCATTCCGGGCTTCGGCACTGGCCATGAAGAGAAGTGCGCCCGTGGTGCAACACAGCTCGCATACGACAGTCGCAGTGCAGTGGATTTCCTGTCAGGGGAAGAACGACATTAGAGAGTTTTAATAGATCGCTCCGATACTTCGATACCCCGGATAACGATGCGACGTATGCCCAAAGGCAACGGCGGGGTGTCGGGTATCGTTACAGCAGTCGTCGGAACGATGTACTAATAGGGAGTTTCCGTAGATGGTTTTCGCCCTCCCGCAACGCTCTCTGCAACCCGCTACGATACCCGGAACTCTACGGTCAAGGCCATCGGCGCGCAGGCGCAGTAGCGGCTTCTTCTTTGAGGCGGGCTTAGCGGAGGGGGAAACGCGGTGCACGAAAACTTCCTAATACTTGCTATTTTTTATTTCGTCAACGAAGCACGGAATAATATATGTAGTATCTTTCACCAATAATGAAGAGCATGGAATTTTATTTTTTGGTGCCATCAAACCGTCATTTTTGTACATAGACGCCAGTGGGCTTGCCTACACGTGCAGCGATTTTACACGTGGTAAGCCGCCTAAATTACTTAAAGCCGAGATTGCTTTATGTGGCAGGGAAGAACCCGAATAAAACGAATCGTACCAAGGCTTTCAGAAACCCTAGATGATCTCTACATCCCGACAAGTAATCGCGTTGGCGTCTAAACGAACGCTGATAACAATTTCCAGCTCCTTCATTCGGTGAAGCTGACCCCTATCGCAGATATCCTGCAAAATCATGAGCCATTCTACTTCGTGAATGGAGATGACCAGCGAAGCTGTTTAGCGCACAACACAGACCGCAGAACCACCCCGAGGAGCCGTGGAAAACCAGACACGCGCGACGGGACCGCCACCCCGGAAGAGCGGAAGGAAAGGAAACTAGGCACGCAACCGCTTGGAACGACGATAAAGACAGGGCGGTGCGAGCGTAGACATGGCCGACGCGGGTCATAAAGCGGCAAATCTTTGAGAAACATTTATTATCTACCTGAGAGTCTACTGATCGTAAAAATTGTGCCTATTGATAACGAATATACTGAATCGACCTATTACTAAATTACCAAAGAATCAAGGAGAACGCTGGGAATGGTGTTCCATGCGCCGCACGTGCCGCCGTTTGCAGCAGCAACTGTTCTAAAGCAAAAGCCTAAAACAAATGGCATCTTGCACGCATTCTTTTGGTTATTTACTTCGAATATTTTCTACAAGAAACGCGTGCGCGTGCGGCTCATGCGGCGGTGCGAGCATAGAGTTTTTAGTCGCTGCACACGAGAAATCCAAGGAACCCCAACCACAAACAACTTCGCTGTATTGTACTGCAGATATGCAGGTATTGTACTGCAGATATTGTACTGCAGATATGCATTTCAACAAATTCGTTCATCAAATGGCCTAGCAGCGCAATTATCTTCGAAAGAGGGAAGGGGCCTCAAGGAAGATGCAAGTCAATATTCGGCGAGAAAGTTCGTCTGCCCCTCGCACAGGGGGTTCCGTGAAGTCAAAGCGCTGAGAGGCTCCGTCCTGGTCTGCAATACGTAACAATGGTTACGTTGTTTCGTCTGCTAACAACTACTGGACGAGCTACAAAGTACGAAGAACACACGTCCGAGACGTGCTTTGCTGCCTACCGAAGACTCTACTGGAGCGGAGCTTCATCGCACACGTGATCACGTGATCGCCCCTTCTCACACTTCGTGCCTCCTCCTCACATGCGAGGAGAAACTCCTCACTGTTTCTCGCCTCACGTCTCATTAAAAGAAGAGACGCGTTTTGGTTTCCTCGCTCGCCCTATAAGATATACATGGGGCTTTGGGCTTTTGCAGTTTATTTTTATGAGCCACCGGCCAAATAAATCACTACTAATTTCACTCAGCTAATCCCGTGTTTATTGCTATCTATTTCTATAGGCGCCCATTTTTTTCACCGATAGTAGAAAATATACTGACATACATTGATCGATATTTTTTGCGTGTGTTTGGTAAATATGTAACACTGGAAGACCTAGACAAAACCGATAGTGTCCCAGAGACAGCCTTGTCAAAGCGGCTCGAGAGGGTACCGTCCTGAGTTGCCCACGGATGGTAGTGGACTGAAAGTGAAGTCTCTTGGCGAAGCTTCGGCTGTCGTCCTAAAAGTTTCCGGAAAAAAATATTTTTAATAACCAAAAGGGAAAATTTGCGACGATTCGTGTGCCATCCATGGGCAGAACATGCCACTTCGCGTACCCCGAACGACAGTGGTATCGCAGTGGTTATGTGTGCTACTCAATTTTATGTATCTGAAAGTTACGCAAGTTAACTTAGACGTTTTATCTATGTTTACCAACGAAAATTTGATAACGTAAAAGGTTGCAATTTTTTATGTGCCCCATCGCTAACATAAAAACACATTTGAGGGATAAAGCGATACACCTGAATATCAAGGAGCCAGTTCATACTCAAAACGTTGTGAACGGAACATGCAAGAATTCAAGTTTCTATAATCGGGAACCGAAACACCGAAGGATTAAATTGACATCTCTCCCATATCGTAAACTAATCATAATATTCAGGTGTATGACTGAGCCTTCTGATCATCTGCTTTATCTTACACTTGGTTTCCAAAGTAATTGCAAGATTTAAAACTCAGCACCACCAAGTCACCACACACCCAGTCATGTTCAAAAAGAGAGCATTGCGCGAGTGTTAATTTTACGAATTTGGCGCACATGATCGTGCACGATTTCGCATATTCTGTAGTTTTGATAAATGCCCGTAATCGTTTTAGTTATAGGCTCACATATTACAAGTGGTAAATATATCACCGTCAAAATTAAGCTAGGGTACACTGAAACAGTATTTTGGTTATGATAAATATTTCTCTTAAATTAAAACTAAAGGAACAGGTTGAGAACGAGACAAAGCAGTCTTACCAGTGATGCGAACAATGACGTCAGCACCTCTCAAGGGCCAAAAGCTACCTCCATCCAACGTGGTTATTAGGTTGTCCACAAGGCTGACATATTTCAGCGAGGGCAGACAGTCACTGAAGCCGACTGGAAGTTGCGTCAAGGAACAATTCCTGCACATTTAAAACAAAAACAATAACTCTGCGTATTTTTTAATCAAAACCTTTTCCTGTGTTTCATTAGTTTCAGTCGCATTTCATTCGTGTATTCTGTACAGTGCTTCGAGTAGTTGTCACTTAAATTGTAATATAATAAAGAAATAATCCCGCGCTCAAATCAGACAATTTCGTATGATAGTTACTGAACACACTGGTTTCCTACATAATATTCTTACAACAAATGAATCCTAATATATTATTCTTGGCAATAAAGTTTAATGAAAGAACACCAGTTTAATCATCGTATACATTTTTACAAAAACCTTATTAGATTACAAATTTTAGTCGAGCTATTTTAAAGTTCTGATTTGATGTTCTCAAACCCCTCTTTAATCCGAGCAATTAATAAATAAATTATCCAACCTATTTAATCAAGGCAATTATTAAAATGTCGGTATTTACCCCATCTATAAGCTCATCATAATGAAATATTTATAATCAGGGGCTAGTAAGATGTTAGACACTTTAATATTTTAAAGTCAAGTTTTTTTTTTTTTTCAAACTGTTCTTTAAAAAAATGCTTCAAGAATAAATACCATCAAAGAAACAAAGGAAGCGAATTCGTCATGAAGTGTTCAGTCAGCGGGAGGTCAGTCCGCGTTCGAGGTAGAGCGGTAGTGGTTAACGTATTATATAAAGATCTCCAGTGCAGTACCACTGCTACCCTGGGGTCTTCAACGTGCATCACGCAGTAGTGAAGCACGGCCGCACGCTCGTGTGATGCCCACTCAAGTCCATGGGAGCAGGAGCGTGGATCAAGCCCAGGAACCTCGGGATCTGCAGCATGAACTTCTGCTCCTTGGACTCCAAGCTGCGATCCGCTAGGTTTCTGGGCCGCCAGCCCCCGTACCAAAAAAACCTAAACAATCTTTTTTCTTTTTTTTAATTCGAAAGCAAACTTTGTTTTGTAGAGCAAACCGGCGGTTATATGAATGTGGCCGGCGCTATCGTTGCCTGTCGCAGCAATAAGCGGCACCCAAATTCCCATTGGCTGAGAGAAACGGCACATAAATTCCGGTTGTAGCAGCGAAAAACTGCACCTAAATTCCACTGAGCGAAACGGGGCCTAGATTCCCATTTGCTGCGACGCGTCATGTGGCTCCTTAGCAACGGCGTCATCGGTGCTAAGGCGCCAGCAGAACTGCTGGCGGCGCAGCGGGAGGAGGGGGGGGGGGGAGTGGGTATGTGCTGGCTTGACGTTAGACCTATTGTTACGCTTTTAGATCTACCATCGTCAACCGGTACGCGCAACTGTTTGACGTGAGGGGGCGAGGCGGGTATGCGCTGGCCTGACCTTAGGCCTAACGTTACGCTTTAAGGTCTAACGTCGTCAACCGGTAACCGCAACTATAGCGACGATGATGATGAGGGGACACGGTGATTTCAGCGCGCGCCGCGCCAAGCTTCGCACTCCCGCCGCTGCCTCATCCAGCGGTGCATTATTCGCCAGCAAGCCAGGGACGCCTTTGCATTCACTACTCATAAGAGCTACTTAGGTGTCCTCAGAAATTTTTTTCTAAAAAAAATAAAACATTCGAAAAAAATATTTTTGCAGAATAACGTTATCGACCGCGACTGACGTCAGTATATAAGTATAAAAAAGCACTTAGTGGTCTAATTCACTAAAATTGATACCTAACTTTTAAACTATTCTTTTTAGCTGGCATATATTAATTGGGAAATTGCAGCCCGTCACTTATATAGGCGAGATGAATTGTTACATTTCAGAGAAATATTTTGAATTCTTACTTATAACGTAGAAAAGTTTGGTTTGCGGCAGTGCGAAAACTACTCATACCGCAAACAGCTCAAAATGTCCGATGAACACCGCTCCCAAAGTCGGACCAGTGTGTCACACTGCTCAATCTGCTGGGGCAGTATTATCGGGGAATTTCAAGATGTTCGAGTATGAGTATGTAAGCACATTCTCAAATTTTGCATACAGAGCAAACAATGAACCACCTCACGACTGAACGACACTGTTTTGGGGACAAATCATTAGAACAGTAAGATCATCCACACTGTACAAAAACATTTCAGACCTGCAGAAAAAAAAAAAAAATGAGGACCTGAAACGCAACTTACTCCAAAAGCAAGGCTTCCAGTTTAGTGGCTGGGTTGGGAAGCATAGTCCTCAGGAATGACGAGACGTTCGAGTTCCTAATCACAATAGCCTCAAGGTTGGGCAAAGAGGACAACCAGTGGTCGTCCACATCTTGTATAGTCGAGCCGACAACGTCCACTTGAACCACGCTCTTGGGTAAGTCGTTGAAACTTGACGAAAGACTCAACCGGTTGATCTCAAACAAGACAACCTGTCTCAGTTTCTCCATCCGCTTCGAGAATGTCCACGCTCGCGGAACACTGCTGTTTCGACTAAACACGATCTTTTCGAGGCTAGCTTCCAGCCCCACGAACGAATCTCCGTCCGCGTCGAAAGTTAGTGAGTTGTTCACTCGCACGTTCTCAAGCTCCAAAGCCGAAGCCCGAATGCCGGTGAAGGCCCTAGGTGGAATAGAGTCCAGTTGGCTGTTCGTCAAAATGAATCGAACGTTAGACCTCACCGAAGCTCGATCCACGAACTCGTCGAAGTTCGCGGAGTTCTTGAAACCGGAGCATGTGTACGACGGGTATCTGACACCGCCAGAACTGAAACACGATGGTATTGCGTACACGAGGTGCACAGGCAACGTCAGGAAGAATAAGCTACCGAAGTAGGAGAACTCGCGCGGTAGCATACTGATGCAGGCATTCGGGACGCGTGGCGCGTTAGCATGCGCCCCAAAGAGCTTTAAGGAATCAGTGAAGAAAAACCCGCCGAAGATAATTTCGGCTAAGATAACCCTGTAAGGCGACACGGCTTGTCTGACGTCTGCTCTATCACGCAGCAAAGATTAAAAACGCAAGCTCGAAGGTCAGTGCTGCTGCACAATGTCTGCATCCGGCTACCGGCCAGCAATAATTTACCAAACGTGGGCAACATATTGTTACACACTGACAGCACTGTCTCTTCAGTATAAGTTAACGAAGAATTCATAGTCAATTTCTTACGTTTCGAAGCATGCAAAGGCTGAGTCTACTTGAACCACCACAAGGAGTCCAGATCAAATTTATCTAAATATTGGGAGCTTTATTGAGGAAGCAAATTGGGTGATTTGGTAAACGTTGTAAATGATGCAATGAACAGTTGGAGGCACTCGGACGAAAAGATACAAACACGACAGCAGTGTCCTGTCGTACTTGTGTCTCTTCGTCGTACGCGTTTTTTGAGTTGTCCGTCCCCATCTTGTCCTATCGTCGACAACATCACTTTAAAGAGTCCTTCATGTTTCTTCCGCGTATTTGTCAGTTTTTGAGATCTGTGGTCCGATCTAGGAATGGAATGAGAGCTTTAGCTCTTATACATCGAACTTTTCAAGAAATAGAAATATGATCGAATTTTCGTGGACTGCGCTGACGCATAGAAGGCTGAATCATGTGTTTCAGTTGATATTGCCCGGGGAGTTACGGTACAGGTGCCCTAAAACTATCACTCTTGCCTCAGGCACAAGGCTGACGATGCGAAAACGGGATGATAAGAATATCATCCGCGTGCCTGCTCCACGAGTGGTAGCTTCTCACGTGGTTCAAGTCTTTTTATAATTGACTAACTAAGGAGTTTTCGATGATGCTCAGCAAGTTTATAATTGGAACCACATGTTTATTTTCAGTACTTACAAACAAAGTTTCTGAATTTTAGTTTATTTAGTTATACTAGCGGTCAGCTTTCTGATGCAATGCAGTCAATGTTAGGGGAGAGGGTGCACCAAGACGCGCTTTCCTCCTCTCTTCGGATTGCCACAGAAAGCTGACCGCGAGTATAGTATGCCTTTTGCAATCATTCATGGCCGCTGTGACTGTCCGTTTGTTCCTGAAAATAGTTCTAGAGCGCAGCTCTTAGGGGCCCGTTTCCGGCTTGAGCGGCGTCGGCGTCGGCGTCGTCATCGTTGTCGGCGTAACCGCGAGGTCACTTGACCTCCCCAAGGTCACGTGACCCCCCCCCCCGAGGTCACGTGACCCCTTGAGGTCACGTGATACCCTGAGGTGACCTGACCACACCCCAAGGTCACGTGACCCCCTGAGGTCGCGTGACCCTTTTCAGGTCACGTGACCCCCCTGATGTCACACGACCCCCGAGGTCACGGGACCCCCTGAAGTCACGTGACCCTTCCTCAAGTCACGTGACCCCTCAGGTCATGTGACCCCCCTGACGTCACACGACCCCTGAGTTCACGTGACCCCCTTGAGGCCACGTGACCAACCCCCCCCCCCCCCGCCCCGAGGTCACTTGACCTCCTGAGGTCACGTGACCTATCCCTCAGTACCCTTCCATCCTCCTCCTCAAGAGCTGCCCTCTAATCCGGCGTTACAGGGAATTGTAAACGCCTTCCGTTTTAGAGCGCAGCTCTTAGGGGCCCGTTTCCAGCCTGAGCGGCGACGGCGTCGCCGTTGGCGTCGCCGTCGGCGTCGGCGTCGGCGTAACCGCGCCCCTCCCTCTCCTCCTCCTCCCCCTCCTCCTCCTATTCCTCCCCCTCCTTCTCCTCCTCCCCTCATTGTGTAGTATGGTCCGGGCGGGTCACGTGACCTCGGGGGGAGGGGGTCACATGACCCGTTTCCAGTCTGTGCGGCGTCGGCGTTGGCGTCGGCGTCGGCGTCGCCCCTCCCCCTCCTCGTCACGTGACCTCGGGGGGTCACTCCCCTCCCCCCGCCGAAGTCACGTGACGGCCCGCCCAAGGGCATGTGATCCCGTCCCCTCGAAGTCACGTGACCCCACGGACCTCTGCCCTCCTCCTCCCCCTCCTCCTCCTCCCCTCATTGTCTAGTATGGTTCGGGGGCGAAAGGGTCGCGTAAGAGCACAGCTCTTACGCGACCCTTTCCGGCTTGAGCGGCAAGGAGGAAAGCAGTACGAAGGTGAAGGAGGGGGGGAGGAGAGACGAGGAGGCGGAGGCGAGGGGAGGGGAGGAGCTTGAAGGACGAGGAGGTGGTAAAGGAGAGGGAGGGGGAGCAGGATGGGAGGAGGACTAGCAGGCATGATCACGAGGGAGGAGGAGGAATATACCCTCCACTCCTCCTCCTCAAGAGCTGCGCTCCAATTCGGCGTTACAGGAAGTTGTAAACGGCTTTCACTTTTTTTTCTTCTCCTCAAACCCCCTATTGGCGGGATTGTTTTGTAGATCTTCGCTGAAACACCGCGGATGTAAATAAAAAAAAAACGACTTCCCGCTTAACGAGTTCTGTAACCACACCATCGTGTACTCAATTACAACACCTGCAAGGAACGCCCTAATGACAACCTTTTTGCTGGGCAGCTTGTGGACACTTTTAATACACCCGTATTATAAAAAAACAATGATATAACATTATGAGCCAAATATTCTGCGAAACTACTCTTTGATGACCCCGCATCGATAAACGCAAACCTCTAAAAATGTGCGCTTTTTCATATTAAAACTTTTTTAGAGCAATATTTGTGACTTGAATCCTCAACGTATTCTAAAAGTAGGCATACCTGGGGTCAGCAGCACTAATGTAACAAATTTACCCACTGAACCGTCACTGAAGGTTGAGAGACTCGTATTATATACTTTCGTGCAGCTCCATTCGTTCATCAGACGCTACATCAAAACGAGTGCATCACATGAAAGTAATTTGTGCGAAAATATTTACGTAAACACAAGGCCTATCAGGTCAACCTTAAAATGAAATTACCACGGGAGTCAAAATGATTGTTGCGTGGTTTTTGAAGAACCCATACAGATCGATTTCTTAACAATATCAAGCTAATCTTTTGTACAGGGTGACCGAAAGTAACGCCTATAGCTTCCTTAGGTAAACATTTACAAATTAAAAGCGTGAACTCGTTGCCTATGGCGGCCGTCTGCTAAGAAGAGATGACTGATTGGCGATACAGCCGACAGTGGAAGGCAAGAGTGAGGGCATATAGCATACCGAAATTCACCTCCGGCAGCAGACGATACTTTTTAAGCCATTTGCGGCGTAGGCATTATCGGTGTAGTGCATCATTTTTTTGGTAATTTTACTAAACAAACACAACTGAATGAAAACAAAACCAAAACGAAAGCTTTCTTGTCGCGCTAATTCGGCTAGATGTGAACAGCTGCCGCCGTCTGTCGTCTATTGCGACAATCAAACGCCTTTCTTTAGCTTACGGCCGCTATTAGCGGTACGTGCGCGACCAAAAGCGTCGCTGCGGTTGGCATTCGCGATTGGCCAAACCATAGCTTCTTCTATACTGATAATTTCTGACCAATCGTCGGTTTACGGCGAGGAAAATCCTGCCAATCACAGCGAGGTAATTTCTGGTTGTGACGTGACGAACGGAAACCATAGGAGGGCGCCACCGAAGCATCTCGGCGCTAATTGGTAGCGAATTCACGCCATTAATTTTGTTGTTATATACTTGGGAAGGTTTTTTTTTTTTTAATGTCAATAAACAAAAATGCACTATCTTTGGCAGCATCTGTACGATATCTTAGACTGTTCCATACTGTAAGTCCGACTGCAGCGAATGCTATCGAATCGAAAACAGCTCCAAAACTCGTCCTTTGCGCGTTTGCTGCTTTCGGCTAAACCAATCACGCCCTTTAAGTAAAGCGCAGAATCATGGCGCATTTACGGTTCGTGATTGGTTTAATCGGTGAAAGTGAAAAAGACCACGAGCACCCTGACAATGCACTTTTGGCACCGCTTGATTGACTCCATCAGATTGCTGCTCTGGCTGCGGTCGGGTCTTATGCAAAATGGACTCTAGCACGGTACGTTTACAAAATGCGATTTATGCGATCTCTTCAAAGCGCCAACGGCACCTTTGAATCACGAAGTAGTACTAAAGATTGAAGGTTTTAACTACATAGCATACGCTAGCTATGGTTTTAAGATTTTTTTTTTTTTTTCAGGGAATTAGTGATAAAAAAAATGGCTGGCAAGTTTCCGTGAATTCTGCGCAGTTTAGAAATAAAACCGCGAAAGGCGTAGCTTCATCCAGCTTGTTATTGCCTCGAAAACTGTAGAAAAAAGTTAATATATATAAAACTCCATCGCAGCTGCTCATAACAGAACAGAACAACATATGCGTCAGAATCACCCGCTGTAGGACTGCATTGAATAACACGTGCCGAAACTTAAACGCCTTTGAAAACATACGTGGCGATCAACCAAATTCCAAATTTTGGATGCTTAAAGTTTTTAAAATCCAAGCATCACGCAGTGGTTTTCTAGCTGCTTACCTTTCTTTCCGAGTACAGTTTGTCAAGATTGGAGGATGTGCATCGGGTCTTGCTCCAGTCCTTTCGGTGTTACCTCAAGAACGCGTTCTAGGTTCACTTTTATTTTTTATTTTCTTTAATGATCTTTACAGCAGCATCATAATTCTAATAGGATTGTTCGCTGACTATTGTGTATTTCATAATACAATAATACACCAGAAGACCAGTTCGAATTAAACAAAAATCTAGAAAACATTAACAAATGGTACCAGGAAGGGCAAAGTCCCTTAAATCCGGAATAGTCAGTCTTTATGACAGTTACGAGGAAAAAAAGAACTCCTAAATTTTGACTACTGTATTTATGAGCATGAACTCGCGAGAGTAACTGAATACCAGTACCTAGAATTAATATTTAAGTCAGACTTATGTAGGAATTCTCAATATAGATAAAGTGTCAGCTAAAGCTAACACTGCACTAAGGTGCATAAGAAGAGACGTGTCGAGTCCCTCACCGGAGCTAAACAATCTTGCCTATAAGACCCATGGTAAGGCCGGTCCTTGAGAACGCTAAAATTGTGGGATTCATCTACCCTGACAGCTTTAACTACGCTAGAAAAGTTCAACGTTTAGCTTCTTGGTTTATATTTAACAAATATTTGCGCGACCATTCTCCTACCGAGCTTTACCGACCCTACCCTTTAGTCTAGAACAAGTTTCGAACGAACGAACGAACTTTCTCAATGACTAATGATTATGTAAAATTGATGAAAACAATTATCTCCAAATTTTTAGATACAAAACCTCGAGGCATCGGCATAGTTTTTATATAAAAGCATATTCAGTAAGAAATGATGACTTGAAATAGAGCTGTTTATTCCTAGGGTCATCAGAGAATAGAACAGACTGCCAAATGACACTGTGACTTCAACATTGCCTGCGGCCTCCCTTACGAACATTGAAAGCGTTTTACTTTATGCATCTCATTAAAGACTACCGTGTTGAATCACCACGTGCCGGCATGGTGTGTTAAACATAGGCGACTGTACGGCTTTATTTTTCGTTTCTTGGTGTGACGTGTATATATGAATGTGCTTGCATTATGAATAGTATTTCAATTATTAAAATTTCGCCTCCTGTAAGTCCTGTGATATGAATAACAGTACCAATCACACAAGGACACAGACCAGGTGTGCACAGATGACTTGTAACACGAAATAATAAAACACATAAGGATGGACACACACGGGAGGCACTCACTTGATCGAATGACATTTCAGCGAACGCCCACGTTTCACCGCATGACACTTTAGCAAATAGCCGGACGCCGCCAAGCGGCGTTTTCGGGTGGGCCAAGTAAGTTAACATTTTTGTAATGAGCCACCTCTCACTGTCGCCGCGAAGCGGCGTAAGCGCAGCGGGGGGGGGGGGGGGGGGGGGGGGGGGGTTTGCTAACGCGCGGTTTCGTTATTCGCTAAAACGTCGATTCACTCCAATGTCGCTGTTCACTAAAGCGTCATTCGCTCATGTCATATGGACCCGACACACACAGACACGACAATTCTTTCAATTAGCAACCGACTTTTATGATGCCTCTTCAATGGGTCAGCGCTTTTTTAACCCAACCCTCGACAAAAGAGGAAGAAAACCCGCGACAGCAAAGAAGATAACGCCGTTGGAAGAAGAAGGGGGGGGGGGGAGAAAGAAAATACTCAAAATAAAATTTAAATAAATAAATAAATAAAAATATTCCTATCTCCATAGAAAAAAAAAGAAGAAAACACCGCCGGAAAAAGAAAAAGCGCAGAACCAACTTGAGCCTCATCGCTCAATCTCCTCTCTCAGAAGATCTGCCTTGGTTAACCTAAGGGAGGGTGAGGCATAGTTCAAATCATCCCCGGCTATCTTAAGGCTCAATAATTTCTGGTCCCAGTCTGTCCTTGTGTCTCCCAATGACTCGCATAGTTTGGAAGTCCGGCTCACAATTTGAATGAGAGCGATTTTGCTCCAAAATGGGATGAAGGGAGTCACTAGACGCCACGGGTTACTTCGAGGAAATGCTTCCGGAGGCGAGCGTTGAGGCACCTACCGGTCTGTCTAATGTACCTATCCCCGCAGGTAGAGGGAACACGGTCCACAACCTTGTCGTCGCAGGAGAGAAAAATGGGTTGCGCATGCTGGATGAAGCAGACTTTGGGGGCACTGTTGTCATTGACCTTTTGGCATATTTGTTTTAGGCGTGTCTTGCACTAGAAAACAACAGAAGTACCACACCGCGTGGGGATGGCCTTCCAGCGGTGAAAAGTGTAGTGGACGTAAGGTAGGGTGACTACCTGAGAAGTCCTCCTTCTTAGAGACCGAGAGCTCGCGTAACCTAAAATTAGACGAATGAGGGTGGTCGAAAGAGGGTTTTGGGGAACCCAGCTTTGAGGAAGCGTTCTTGCCGTGTTTATAAGCTGAACTCAACAAGGTGGACACAGGACTTAGCACGGGAGGAGAGAAAGAGGGACCGGACAATTTCATGGTTGACCATTTTAGAGTGCGAACTACAAAAAGGGAGTACAGGTTTTCTAGAACGTTGTTTGAAAGCCCAGCATAAACCGGAAGGTAGAAGATGCAGACGAAGATCTAGGTACTCCAGACCTTCGTGCGTGGGATCTTATGTTGTTAATTTGAATCCTGACGAAGAGAAAATAAAAGCGTCCAGAATGCAACTAGAAAAAAACAATTTGGGTAGATAATTGGTTAATCATCTACAAACCGAAAAACATGGCAACCCAGCGTAAAATCCTTAAGGCGTACTTTGGTCTCACGATCAACGTGCAAGAGAAAAATCTTAGGGAGGAGGATAGAGAAGGAAAATGGAGGAGGAGGAGGGAGGAGGAGGAGAAAAAGAGGGAGGAGGAAGTGGGGAGGCGGAGGGAGGAAGAAGGAGGAGGAGGAGGCAAGGAGCATGGGAGGAGTAGATGAGGAGGGAGGAGGAGAGGGTACGGATGAGGAGGAGGGCATACCGTCCCTCCGTACCGCCCCTCCTCCTCCTCAAGAGCTGCGCTCTAATTCGGCATTAAAGAAAGTTGAAAACCTCTTTCAATTTTTCCGGCGGTGTTTTCTTCGTGTTTTCTTCTTTTGCTAGGGTAGATAGGAATCTTTTTTTTCTTTTCATTTCAATTTGAGTATCTTGTTTGTTTTTACTTTTTCCCTTTTTCCAACCGCGTTATCTTCTCTTTTATTGAGGGTTTTCATCCTCTTTTTTCGAGGGTTGGGTTAGAGAAGCGCTGACCTAGGGTGCCTTCATGTGCGCTTCGCATAGAGTGATGCCAACTGCCTGTTTCCCTTTCCCCCACCGCCATTTTGTTTCTCATTGTTTCCCCGTGCGTTTCCCGTGCGCCGGAAAGTGGCCTTTGTGTCCATCGGTCCCCCCATCCGAGGGGGAAAATGCTAATCCTCCCTCCGTGGGATCCACAACGCTGCTCCGAACTTTTGAGATAAGGTGCTTGTTTCCGGGAGGGTTATAAGCCCCACGGATTATCGCCGAGACCAAAATGGCTGCTGGTTTGTCGGCGAGTGGTACTAAAAAGGGTGGCGCCACCCTAGCAAAGCGCACATGAAGGCTCTCTACGCTGACCCATTGAGGAGGTATCATAAACGACGGTTCCTAATTGAAAAAACTGTCCTGTCTGTGTTTGTCTGTCCCTATGTGTTTTATTCTTTCGTGTTTCAAGTTTCAATAAATAAATAAATTCCGCCTTTTGACACTTAAAAGTGAAAACCTCGAAAGCTAAAAATATGACGCAAAAACAACTCTTAGTTTAGTCCTAGTGAATAATTGGACCAGGATATATGTATATTTTTGTGTCATAAGATTTTCAGACATGAGCCCTTTTTACTACACGATTTTAACCAACAGAAATCTGGGCTCATTAATGAAAGGTAGCACCAGTACTCCAGAAAATGACAAATGCATTAAACATGTAAAAAGTAGCTTTCTACCGCGCCACAAAAGAAAACAAGATAACGAAAATTAATTAATAAGGTCTTTCCCGCTTTGTGAACACCTCTAAATCAATACCTATGGAATAAAAACAAAATAAGGGGCCAAATAAAGAGAAGCACAAAAATAAGACAACGTCGATATTTAATTCAAACACGTCCTCTGGCGAAAATAACCTTTAGAGAAGGGGAACAAGTGGTACAAAGGACAAAAACAAATCTCCAAACACAGCTAGGTGATTTGCGCGCGATTGACAAAAATCCGCCTGGTCCTGGTATCGAACCAGGGATTTATCCATTTCCAGTGGATCGTTCAACCAACTGAGAGGAGTTAGACATCAGTAGAGCAAACATGTTTTATCAGCTTCTACCAGTCTAACACAGGCAAGGCTGAAGGGCCTGCATTTTAAGGTTATAATGATAATGCAATCAATGCAAAGGTGCAAAAGATACCAGGACCAGGCAAATTTTTTTTCGGTCGCGTAGCAATCACCTAGCTATGTTTGGAGATTTGTGTTTGTCGTTTCTCCCCCTTGTTCCCCTTCTCAAGGGATAATTTTCGACATCCTTGTCCAGCTCTCTTGCACCTTTGCATTAAGTGCGTTATCATCAAGCCCACTGCCTTCCTTCTGTTGCTCCCCTGGCCAAGAAGGGAGGAGGCCAGGCCTTTAGCTATTTTGCTATCAAATCTGGCTGCAGCGACTGACAAAAAAATTACCAGACATGAATACAGTACAAAGTGAAGAGGTTTCATAATTATATAAGTATTTTATTTGCACTTTCCGGAAAAGGTCATTTTTAGCTATGTAGACTTTTCTATTCGGTCTTCTCAAAGTACTTGAGAAGGTCTGCTTCGATTGTCTGAAAAGAAAAGAAATGTAAGACTTAATCATGCTGGATTTGATTCTAGCAATGTTGGGTGTATGGACAAGTTGGGGATCACTTAGACTGCAATTTTCGAACTTTGTTGAGTGTTAGATTACAGCACTCCTGGGATAAAACAGCAGTGTTGCCAACTCAAACATTAAAAAACCCCAGTCGGAATCCCGAAAACCGCTAAAAAACCTCTAAATCCAAACACAGCTCAAAACGACTTTTTAGACAAATGTTTTTTGCTTTAATTCTTGACAAAGGTATAATAACAGTATAGATCAAATCAATGCCATCTGAAAGGAAGCTCTCCTTTTGTTTTGACTAGAAAACTGTCACGCCACGCCACAGTTCACCCGGGTGATCCGAAGTCAAAATTGCAGAGTGAGCGCATACGAACATGGCAAGGGACCCTTCAGCAGTGCGTGATTAGTCAGATCCGTTCAACTCGTAGAGTCGTCTGCTACCAGAGGAGAAAGGTGCAGCGGCCGCAACATGCTTCTTCGTTGCAGCGTGCGCGACCAAATCCACATTCTTCGCAGATAGTTCTGTTTTGAAATAGCGGCACCTGGCTCGTCTGCTATCACCAGGAACCTCCAGTAGCCAGTCTTTAAGTTTAGGGTCTTAGAGCCAGTCTTTTCTAAACTTTTGAGCGTACTTCACCACGCCTATTTTACGAAACAGTGACAAAAACGTCAAAGGAAAATTGGAACATTCATGCTGTTCAAACGTGCGCGCACAAAACAGGGAGGCATGTTCCGACATTCGTCGCCTTAATGTTTTGATGACGTCACAGGCGTTACTCTCACAAACCAGAACATTACAGAGAGTAAGCGAAGACGACTGTGGCTTATTATCCTTGTCTTTATGGATATGAAAGGTGCATAGTTGACAGTAAATCGATATAACTTGTGTATCGCTAAAAAACCGCCAAGGTTTCATAAAACCGGCTAAAAATCCCGCCGCCCGCAAAACAATAATTTATCCCGCTAAACAGAACCAAAACCGCTAAGTTTAGCGAGAAAACCGCTAAATTGGCAACACTAATAAACAGGCATACATTTTAATGGAGAGAAGAGGTCACTATATTAGGCGGTAATGCTTAGAAAAGAGAAATAGAAAAAAAAAACAATTTAGCTATACATTTTTGTCTCAAGATCTTTAGAGCTTAATATATTGTCACAACCAAAAAAAAAGAAAAGCAAGTTTAAAGTCAATTCCAAGTTGTATACCAGTTCACCATGTAAACAACTTACCTCACCTCACGCAACAATCCTATATAATTTTCTGATGGCATTAGTCAAAGTCTGTACATTTCGTACCAATGAATCCTCTTATAATTATCAAAAACACATCCATGCATAGTTGCGAAATGTAGCTTACCTCGAACGAGTCCGTGGGGCCATAACGCTTCACAGGCTGTCCATTCTTGTCCACCAGGAACTTGGTGAAATTCCATTTGATGGCGCTGCGGGTGCGTGAATTAGTTAGCAACTTTATTTCGACAAAATATATCGTGATTCCTTTTTTCTTTTTTGATTTAGAGAATTTATTACCATTTTTCGCGGCGAACAGTTCACTTACTTGAACAGGAAACCCGGCTGCCTTTCCTTAAGGTACTTCCAGAGCGGGTGAGCATTGTCGCCGTTGACGCTGATCTTGCTAAACATGTCGAAGGTCACGTTGAACTGCTTCTTCACGAACTCTTTGATCTCAGGTTCCGCCCAGGGTTCCTAAACATGTGGCCATTCGCGTCAGTCTTTTAGTAAAAAGAGAAAACGGTGCAAAAAAAGGACACAAGAAGCGGTAGGCGAAAGACACAAACAAAGCGCTGACGCACGACTTTGTTAATTTGTTTCTCATCTTCAATACATAGAAGCAAGGAGTGTATATCAATTTACGTCTTTTTCGTGTCTTTTTTGCGATTCCTTTTTCTGTTACCAGTATGTACCTAGCCTACTAGCCCACCTTCAAACAATATTCCAATGTTTTAGTGGCCTCGCCTCGATGTGGCTTGAAGTAAGCAAAAATAAATCGTGCAAAGCGATCCTCACCTGCTTGGCAAAGTCGTTGGTGGGGAAGGCCATAATGCGCAGGCCCTTCGATTCCGAGTACTTGTGGTAGAGCGCGCTCAGTTTCGTGTAGTGCTCCTGTGTCAGTGTGCACTTGGAAGCCACATTCACGATCAGCGTCACGTGGTCCCTGCGTCGAAGGCGTTGCAACCATTACTCCTTTTGTGGCATCATCATCATCATCGTGCATTGTACCTTGAGCTCCCATACAGGGATTACACAATGAGAGCATGCTCGTAGGACATCATCGTCAAAGCTAAAACATAGAACTTAACACTCAAACGTTGTGACACGAAAGTAGAAAACTATGTTATAACTTATACCGAAGAAATAGCACAAATGAGTGTTTCATACAATGATCTTAACGTATATCGCTGCTTATACAGGCTACAAGAGAAGCTTCGAGTTGTCGATTAGCTGCGCTGCAAAAGTGTCTATCTTTTTTCTTTTTCTTTTTTAAGGGGGGAGGGGGGGCAGGAGATAACGATGCTACTCAATATATTTCACTCCGCTACTGCTGATGGCGAATTGAAGTTACAAAAATGCACGAATAAAGCAAAAATGGGGCTATCTCTTGGCACGTTACCAGTACAAGGTAAAATGGGATCTGGAGAAAATAACGACGAAGTCCCGATTTTACTGGCAGACTGTACGGTACTCAATACAAGTAATAAAATTACTTGCAATCGATTACTTCTTTGCGCCAGTTTGTAGCATTTAATTACTTCCATTAAGTATGGATCACAATACGAATACGACTGTGTTTAGAAAATCAAATTACTTTAAGCTTATGCCCTTTTTTCGAACCTCCCACCCCCCGCGATCTCCGGGTTTACGATTCCACATTTCGGTGACCACATTTTGAGCTAAAAATCCCGCGATATGACTGCCTTATGAGCTTCTAGATCGTGCGAAAAACAACAATAAAAATGATTGTTACCCAGCCGTACAGAAGGAGGTGATGCGTTTTGTCTGGATAGTTTAGGTAGTAGTTTGTTCTGATTCGAGCTGGGACTGTGAAGACCCAGTTCTCTACAACTGTACAATAGCCTTAGCACGAAGCTTTATGGTTAGTTTACCATGTGTGTCTTCAGTAACCGTTTAAGCTGTCCACCATTCTCGCCTTAAAATGTCTAAATTCGACTCAAAGCACCCTGGCACTTCGATGCCCGCAAGATCACCAAAACCAGATGCCAGAGCTAAGGCGCCAGAAATAAGTGAGCATTTTGTGACATGCAGAATAAGCGGTTTGTGTTTGGCAACAGCTCAGAAGGTTAGTAGTTGAAAATCTGGGGACTGTAATTCACAAATACACAGTACACAAGACCGGTTTTGAAGCCGACAATAAAGCGTGAATAAGCTTTGTGCTCTCAATGTTGCAAACTTTGTTCAAGCTTTGTTTCCTAATGTTGCAAGTGATAATGACATAAAGCTTTAACTATAAACAAAAAAGTAGCGATAACATTTTTTCAAGTAAGGTAAATTACCTCTCCTTTTATGTAATCAATTAAACTAATTAACTGATGACTTTTTAACAAGAGTAATTGCGATTGTAATTGATTACCTTTTTGCAACGTTTACAACACTGCTGTTTTGATAGTAGATATTGTGAAAGAGGAACAAGCCTAGTCATTTCCTTCTAGATAAAAACAAATTGAAACGAGTTTGCATCCTTATCGAAGTAATATTGGTGTCTCGTGACTAATCTCGATATATAAACCTTACTGCGTGATTTTGTCCTGCTTTAATCCCCGATACCAGTTATTGTTGTCAGAGGAAATGTCTTACATGTGTAGCTCCGGAGAAGCCCACACCTGGTTCCCGCCCGAACTAGCGATGTGTGATTCAATGAGCAACGCATTGAAATACAATTGTTTATTTGATTTCTCAATGTGCACCTCATAACCCCTAGCATCGGCTGAGCCCCTGCAGTGTATACCTCGTACCTTATATTCAGTATTAGTAGAAGGTGAAAAATGAGATAACATTAAAAAAATGAAAAGCATTTTAGGTTTTCGTGTCATGGACGCATCTATTACACGGACACGAGGGCAGCTTTTGAGAGGAAACAAATTGGCATGTCACTAAAAACCTAGCATTAATTTCACAAAAAAAAGCACTTGATGAAGAGTTTCACTGCAAATATTAAATATACGCGTAAAATAAAATTAAAGATGAATTAATGTCGGCAATTTGTAATCGGTGTGTTCAACCCGTTTATATCAAACTAGCTCGTAATTTCCTCATAGTTACTTTGACAAGCACTCGTCCACTGTGCTCTTGCATGTTTGCACATTATTTTGAATTATTGTATTGGTGACGTTGGAGGACATTCGTATTTTGTTTTCAATGTATCATGTAGGGAACGAAAGGTTTACGGACTAATTGATTACAAATTGTGACTCATAGACTGTGTCAGTGTTATTTGGCAAAAGTCTAAAGGCTTAGTCAACCAATTTGAGCGACACAGTGCAGCACATGACTATTCTCCGTAGGAGGGTTGACGGTGCATTGTCGGACGCTCGGACGCTCTGTTTCGCACGCCAGAGCCATAGATTTCGCCGCTTGCTAAGTAATACTGACACGAATATTACATGCTCGTTGACAGGTTATATGACACGACCACTATGTCAAGATTATGAATAAACATAATACCGTACCTGTATTTATTAAAGTCGACTTTGTTGCCGTCAATATCAAGGGCTCTGAACTCGTAGATTGACTTGGCGTTCTTCCAGCTCTCATCGGAGTTCGCCTTGAAGAAACGGAATATATTAAGAATTAAATACTACCTAGGTATTATGCTAAATCTGAACTGTATGCACAATATACTTTCTGTCAAGAGGGTGGATCAAAAAGAAATAGAACGGGTATTATTACCTCTGCGAGTCCCGCAACCAAAAGCGTTGCGGCAAACGTCAAGGTCAACATGGTTCTTGCGCCTGTATACAGAAAAAAATAAGATATGAAGCCGTCATTCCTAATATGTTACTAAGGCGAAAGCCTTGTATGTCTCATCGGTCAGTCGACCTTCAATGTCCTTGAGCAAAAACACGTCGGCGACACGAAAGGTACCAAAACGTTTACGTGACCACTCAGGCGAATTGGAGGCAATGAAATTAAGAAGGGTGGCAAAGCGAATTGTCTGTCTTTAATGCATCGGCGCTTGGGCTTTCGCCTTCAAGTCGTCTTAAGAATAACATGAGAGACTTTGTGTTCTGTTCACACTTCACGAGATATGACGTTTTATTCGAATCAATATAACTTACTTTTAGATTTGTTTAGATCTATTTTTGTTTAAATTGAGAAAGCTATAATGCAAGCATTCTCTTCTATACTGAGTTGTGAGGAAATATTTAAAGCGCATATATTTAGCAAAATGTACCCCGGTTTTTTTACTCTAATGTAAGCCTCTTATCCTCGATTACTACATAACAGTTCTGCTCATAAAGTTGAATGAAAAAGTAGCGGTAACCTTAAGCATTACTGATGTGTGACAACTTCTACTAACCTAGTTATTGCTGAAATGATATAACACCTGAAAGTGTAACATCTACTAATAAAATGACGAGCCAAGGTTAAAGCTTGTTTTGTATTACTATCGTATGAGTCGTATTTCTAATCTTGAGTTCTACTTTGCCCATCTGACAGCCTGGCTTAAATCTCGTCTTCAAGATCCCTGGAAACTTTGCATTAAAATTTAGATCTCAGCCATAAAACATTCAACAAATTACTCACGTTTGATGTTTCTCTGGACGGAAGAAAAGAAATACTCTTCCACTTCTTCCAGCCGACGGTCCCAAATTTTCATTTCGGCGCCAAGTGCCACCTTTTTATATAGAACGTTGTCTCGATAACACAAACAATCGTCTTGTCTATATCCGGCAGGCGGAAGATTAGAGTATCCGTGTGAGAACAATCAAATCGCAACGTCCAGAGTGTCTTTGTCATGTCGTGTCTTTCCAGTGTGTCACACACATTTAAAGATAATATATTTTGCAAGAGGACTGTCTCCTCTTTTTGAGGCTCCTTTTTTTTTTATCCAGATAGGTTTTATGGTATACCTCACTAACAGGCGACGTTTTATATCAGGAAGTTCAGTAATGTTTAGTTTAAAGGAAATAAAATCCCAAAAAGAGCGTGTAAGTCGAGCGGGGTTTCGACGATTGTCATCTGTGACAACTTCGATTCGTGCGCAATCCAAACTACTATCCATAGAACCTCAGTACTCATTAGAGGAGTTTATGTATTATTTAGCAACACAGCATCTAAATTTGTGTTTAGTTTCTATAGCCTAGAAGTTCTAAAAAATTCCCAAACATGTTCCTGCGGACATTTTTGTCCAAAACCACTGCTATTATACCGAGTAAAGCTTGCAGACTATCCCGTTCAAATTTATATCACGTGCAACACATGTCATTTTCTTCCAAATAATGCAAATTGTATGCTTGTGTTGTTGGTTTATATTAAAAAATAAATTATGCAGAAAGGTACATCTTCTGATTTCATTCGAGTCAACACACTTTAAAATAAAAAAGATTTTCTTTTATTTTTGTTGCTTCACACTTCTTTTATGTCTCCCTTTAAACCCTAGAATAGCTCACAAGGAGTAAATACTTGTATTAATTGCAAGACCTCTAAATATGCTATAAAACAGCAAGGACCGATAGCGTTTTGTTAAAACTTGCCGTCTCGGCCAAGTTTACTAGGTCTCAAGATTAACCTGTGTGCGATCGTTTTGTCAAGCACACTACATAAAGTGGTTTATTGTGGGTGGCGGTAAGTTTAACAGAAATATTTAAACAAAAGCGCCTTTTGGAAATTAATATGTATATACCATAGTTGTAGTTTTTGTTTTTAGTGGTCATTTATGGCTATCACATTTAAATTCATACCCCATAGACCGCATGTTACTACCTCCCGATGAGTTAGTGTATTTCTAGCGTTAATTGGAAGTAAGTAATTATTAATAAACGACATGACACAATTACCAAAGGTACAACAAAAGAGGTCACATGTGGCATAACTGTGCAAATTTTGTTTATGTTCACTTGAAAAAATAAAAAGCCTACTTCTGTAGTTGCTATGTTTCAACCGGTATTCTTTTATGGTTTTATTCTCACCACACAATTGATAAGTTCTAAAACTATCCTTTTAGAGCAACGTACCTCTAGACATGCTGCCAAACAGTACTTCCGACGGCTGATTTCAAGGCGATCGTCGTCTGCACACCGCAAAACATTGACGGTATAATCAACTTATTTCAGTATACTAGCTTTCTAAGACTTTTTTTCCAAATATCTTTGATTAAATTTCCCCGTGCGGCGCCTCCCACATACCAATAGAGTCTATCTGCACGAGGCACCCAGTTTAAAAAAAAAACATTTGGATAAGAACAAGCCATTTTCATCAATACTCTTGACACCAGACGAGCATGGTGAAACTCAATACACATATTATTTGTTTATAGACCTTTTCATTTTAGTAGTTGCCTCACCGGTGGATAGAGGGCGCTGACACACTCGGCGCCATCAGGTTGCTTCAATTTGGTTTGTTTCGGTTTCAACATGAACTACGCTATGTTGCTGTTTTACGTTGTTTTTGCTTAATTTTGTTATACTATTATTTTCTTTGTAGTACACAACCAATGAAACAATGGTAATGAACCACTTTGAGGACTACGAGGTGTATTTTATTTTAGCCTAAACTGCCGGCTTTTTTACCAACTCCTTTGGTGTATCTGATTATGGTCGGTTGCGAAACGCCTGACTGATGTACAGGAAAGATTACCATCGTCTGCGGCCGTGCCCGATGACACCAGTTTCTAGAAAAACAAACTAATGAAGAGACTAAAGGTACGTTTATACTCAACGTAACGTCGACGGGTGCGGCGTAGCGCAGCGCACACTGATACTGATTGGTGGCAGATATCGAGTTCCTGCTCGCCGGCCAATGAAAGGCGCGCGTTCTGCGCTACGCTGCGTTCACTGCGCTCAACGTCGGAGAATAAACAGTCCTTAACACCTGAATGTAAAGAAGCATATCGACAGCTTAATTAGCAATGTGCTGAGTCGGCCAGAACAGATGAACTCGCGAGTTTACTACTTGCTGTTTGGTTTTCGGGGCACCTAACATTTCGTGAATTTCGCAGACTAAAAACGTATCGTGTGGTGACGCAGATAATTGATCTAACTAAGTAGTATCATCGCGGCCTTTTTTTAACTCAGTACTCGACTATGTTTTGACAGGCCGAGTAGGAAATTTTTTAATTATCAATCCTTCTAAAGTACTCATGAGCAGCATTTCACAATATTGGCCTTAGGAAATAAATTATTTTTATATGAACATTTGCTTACTCAAGATATAAGTGACAGTCCCGTCAAATTAAATCTGGCATTTGCCTTCCGTAAAATTGGCCAAATAAAATTGCATGGCGCAGGAGGAGAAATACCCCGGAAAGCTGAATTCTAGCGCCACGCACCACTTCATGGACCTGTGTGAACAAATATTTATTTGTTTGAACAGATTCGCTTTGTAAATTTCGGCGTCGCCAGCCACCAAAATTAAACCTCTATTCGCCATCGACAATCCTGGACACTAGTGATTGTTATGCAGACGGCTCTTTTTCTTTTTTCGGCGTCAATAATTGCGGACTCCAGATACAGGCAAAAAATAAAACAGCGTACGCAAAAAAACAAAAAAAAAAAAGAAAGAAAAAATATCGTCATTATTGCGCATGCGCCACACAAGTCCAAACAGCGTTTTGGACTTGCAAATAGAAACGACGTTATTTCTTTTTGCACGCTATTCTAAAACTCGCTACTGTTAAGTGTCTGGGTAGTTTCTTACGCGGAAAGACTCAGCCTTTGTGGTAAGATTAATTAAGTAAATGCACTGGTTATCTAAACATGATCAATCAATCACTTAAATGACTGTCGAAATGAGAGTGAGCACGGTATAAAAATTTTTAAAACTTCATAGGTAAACCGATTAACCGAATGTTTACGTCGCAAAAAAAGGTTGAGAACCTCAAACACAAGTATGTGTGATATTATGAACAAACAAATCGCCTGATGTTGACGTACCATTATTTTTAGCCTCAGATAAAGCACAAGTTAAACACTTGTTGTCTATCCCCTCCGCGAGTTTCCTCACATAATCAAAAGAAACTGTTTTCGATATATTATGAATACAAATAACTATACTTTCAGGAAATACAGATAGACTCCTTGTGCTGACTATTCTTGACGCCTTCCGATCCTAAATGCGCGATATAAATATACGCGCTTCTTACTGAGAATGTTCCGTCACTTGTAGTTAACAAACCTCGGTTTCTTAAGGACCTTTGAACCCTCGTGATATCTTAGTCGTCGAGTAGTTTCCGAAGTACGACAAGAAAGCGCTGTGAAACGCTACGAAAAACACGGATACAACGCATCCGCCAAGGCGCGGAGAGGAGAGCGGAGCAACAAGTTGAAGCAACCTAATGGCTGCCGCGTCACGTGGTTCCAAGATGGCAGCGCCCATGCGGAGGAGGATGAAAAGGTCTATAACATGTTTCGTCTCCTTCCCGAGAGTGCTACTCCGCCCCGTACAGCGTTAAAACACCACCTGGAAAATATTTTTGGAGCGCAATGAAGCTTTCTAACTACTCAGCCTCTGTCCACTGCACACAAGAGTCCAGCACTTTCTTTATTCATGCTGCTTATCGTCTTAGAAAGCGTAGCACGAGTAGAAAAGAAAGAAAAAATGATCCACATATTTCATCGTGTCCTCATTGCGCCAAGGCACTATAAACTTTCAGAGCGCAGCTTTTAGGCGGCCGTTTCCGGCTTGAGCGGCGTCGCCGTCGGCGTAACCGCACGTTGCATTATGGGTAAATTTCCCCACGAAATCTAGCTTGAAAATTTCCCCGCTAAATCTAGCGGAAAAATTTCCCCGCTAGATCTAGCGGAACAATTTCCCCGCTAAATCTAGCGGAACAATTTCCCCGCTAAATCTAGCAGAAAAAATTTCCCCGCTAAATCTAGCGGAAAAAATTTCCCCGCTAAATCTAGCGGAAAAAATTTCCCCGCTAAATCTAGCGGAAAATATTCCGCTAGATTTAGCGGACAAATTTTTCCGCTAGATCTAGCAGGGAAATTTTTCCGTTAGATTTAGTGGGGAACTTTTCCCGCTAAATCTAGCAGAAAACTTTCCCCACTAAATCTAGCGGAAAATTTTCCCTGCTAAATCTAGCGGAGAAAATTTCCCCGCTAAATCTAACAGAAAAAATTTCCCCGCTAGATCTAGCGAAAACATTTTCCCGCTAAATCTATCAGAAAAAAATTTCCCCGCCAGATCTAGCGGAAAAATTTCCCCGCTAAATCTAGCGGGAAAAAATTTCACCGCTAAATCTAGCGGAAAAATTCCCCGCTAAATCTAGCGGAACAGATTTCCCCGCAAAATCTAGCGGAAAAATTGTCCCGCTAAATCTAGCGGTGAAATTTTGGTCACGTGACCCTCTCCCGAGGTCACGTGACCTCGGAGGGGGCACGTGACTCCCCCCACGTGACCCCACCAAGGTCACGTGCCCTCTGGGGGTCACGTGACCCTCCCCCCCCCCCCCCGAGAACACGTGGCCCTCAGTACCCTCCCCTCCTCCTCCTCAAGAGCTGCGCTCCAATTCGGCGTTACAGGGAGTTGTAAACGGCTTCCACTATTTTGCTCATAAGTTCCTGTGCGTGATCACACCCGCGACAAGAAAGCAACATTAGCAAAAACCCGACGCTTTACCGCAGTTCACCAACCCTGCGGTGAACAA